AGTCACTGTGGGATTAAGCGTTGGCAATGAGTAGGTGTTAAGTGCTTATGATGCGGGATATATATACGGTTATACGGTCCTTACCCACCCGTATACCTAGAGTGAGTGTATTGGATGTTGTTCTCTATCTGTGTGTCGAATGAATTTGTGCTGGGTTGAATGGTGATTGGAGGAAGGTATTTTATACTTACAAGTGGTACCATTGAATTTTAGTTTATTTTCCAGGTATGTTCAGAGTTTACACTTCTTCCGGGGGTCATACGAAAAACATTGATCTTATGCCTTCCTTCAAAAGGCTGAAAATGGATCAAAAGCAATGAATGGAATGGCCACTGAAAATGTATTAACCATGGTAAGCTTATAATGACTCTTGCCAAAATTATCTGAATAGGGATGAAGAATAGACGGTGGAACATATTATCTGCTACTGTCCAGCCCTAGAAACGGCTTGAGACCGAACAAAGGGTTTAAACTACTTAAACGATCTATATGATCTTATTTGAGAATCGGTCAAAAAGGATGGGAACTTCAAATTCTCACTAAGCTGGTTGTAATCATCTATCAATCTTCTATCTTCTCTATATATATATATATATATATATATATATATATATATATATATATATATATAAATGAATGTGTGTTTGTTTGTTTGTATGTTTGAACGTTATAGACTACTAAACGGCTGATCCGATTTTCTTCAAATTTTCACAGCGTATGTCTGCATGTCTGGAATAGGTAAAGGGCTACTTTTTATTTTGGAATTCCAAGTGGGCGGGGTGCCACGCCCATATTAAGAAAATATGATATGCGTATATTTGAGATAATATAACAGTTGGAGTCCTCAAATTTTGTAGGAGCCACTTTAGTGTCAATATTATTATTTAGGACAAAAAGTAGGCGGTCTAGCATTAGGGGCGTGGCACTTCTCATATATATCAAATACAAAAATTCGTTTATCTTAGAAACTATTACAGTTAGAATCTTCAAATTTTGTACTTATAACTTTAACATCCATTTAAACATTTTGGGTAATAAATTGGCGGACTACCCATGAGGGGAGCGGCACCTCCCATATTAATTAAATACAAAAATTCGTTTATCTGGGAAACTAATGGAACTAAATTCTTCAAAATTTGCACGAAGAATTTAAATATTCATCTGAACATTTTGGACGAAAAAAAGCGGTTTTTTATCTAGGGGGGCTTCTATGTGAATTAAATAGAAAAATTCGTATATCTGAGAAACTATTAGAGCTAAAATCTTCAAATTTTACTTGAAGACTTTTGACATTCATCTGAACATTTAGAGTATAACGGGCGGACTTTCAAAGGGGAACCTTGCACCTCCCATATGAATTAAATATAAAATTTCGTTTATATGGGAAACTAATAGAACTTTATTCTTAAAATTTTGCACAAATTATTTTAATATTCATCTAAAAGTTTTGGGGAAAAAGTGCGGGCTTTCATTTGGGGAGCTTGAAGCCCTCACTGAGAAACTATTAGAGCTAGAATTTTAAAATTTTACATGAAGAACTTTGATATTCATGGGAACATTTAGAGAATAACGGTCGGACCTTCAATGTGTGGTTTGGCACCACATATATGAATTAATTACAAAATTTCGTGTATCTTGGAAACTCTTATATTCTTCAAATTTTTCATAGATAGATAGAAACAGCCGATAGATAGAAACAGGCGAACTTGCTTGACATCTCTTATATGTAACATATTGTAAATCTGGAAAAGTATTGTAGTTAGAATCTTCAAAATCGTTAAGTGGGTTTTTTATTTATATGCTTTTAGGGTAGCAAAGCACACTGGGTATAGCTAGTCATAATATATACATACGTTTCTACTCACTGATGTGTTCAACGTTTCTACTTTCTTCCTTTTCTTCTATCACTCTTTCCACTATCTCTATTTTTCTCTTTCTTACAGTTATCTATTCTTGTAAAGAGATCAACCCAAGTAATGCTGCATCAGCTGATCGATAAGAAACAACTTGTTAAAACCTTATTTAACCATTTGCAATAAAAACTACTGTTTTTGTATTATTTCTTAACACAGCTTTATTATTGTTTTATTAATTACTTCTTTTTTTCATATTTAATTTTTTTTTTTCTGTTCATTTTTCAATATATAACTAAATATCATTATTATTTATAATTTATGTTAAATACATTATTTATTAATATGTTCGGTCTAAAATTTAATTTAATCATTATTATTATTATTATTTCATTGATAAAAACTACTTTAGATAAAGAAGTTTTTATTTTGTGTGTTTTTGTTGTTGTTGTTTTGTCTTTAAATACAGTTTCTGCTTAGATATAAAACAATTTATCTTTTGAGTTAGTTTTATTAAAATATTTATTCAAGTATAAACTATTGAATTTTGGTTTTAATTAATCTACAAGTATGTTTTAATTCATTTATTATTAATCTGTTGCTGTTGTATGTATTTTCTAAATAGATTTTTTTATATGTTTAGGTATATATGTATGTATGTTTTGGAGATTTTTGTTTTGTTTTATTAAAAATAATTTATTTACAATTAACAATTAATTTAATGTTTAATAATAATTAAATACTTAATATTTTATAAATTCTTAAGTTTTAATAAATTTATTACCAATTAGTAATAATGTATTTTTTTATTTTTTTTTATAAATAGTTTTAAATTTAAAAATTAGTGGCATTTTATTTAAAGTATTTTAGTTTTATTTTTATTTTTTTTAATTTTTAACTACATTTTAGAGTCTTTTTTTTGTTAGAGTTACCTAATTATAAAATTATTTCTATATATTAGAGATTTATTTAGTTATTATAATAATTATTATAAAATTATCTATATACAATAGGTGTTTTTTCTATATTTAATTAGGATATGATTTATTATTTCCAGGAAATTTATTTTGTTTTTGTCATAGAAAAATTTATTTAATTAAGTAACTACTTATGTACAATTTAATTAAAAACTCATTAGTTAGAGGGATTTAAAAAAAATATTGTATTTTAGATTATTTGTTGGTTGGTTTTTATTAGTTGTTGGTGTAAATAAATAATTTGATAATTAAATGGCAGTTAAATTGTTTAGTTTTTTTCGAACAGAAAATATAGTTTAATAGCTATTGAAAATATAGTAAAAATTATTGAATTTGGACGTTCTGTTTAGAGATTGTCTATATGTGTTATATGTGTTGTTAGAATATACATACATATGTATTGAAACGGATACGGATATGGTAGTGGGATTAGGAAAATGATATGGTATTAAAAATTAAATGTTATCATTCACTTTCCAGCACAGGCAATCATTCAATAGTGTTCAAAAATCTTTTAAAATTTGTCTAAATTTATATGTTTCTAAATGAATTTTGCAAAAATTGCAATACACTCTTAATCAAAGTTTTAGATTGATTTATGAGAAGGATACCTAGCACCAGGACATGGACATTAATCGGATTCTCATACGAATATTTGCTTGGTAATTATTACCAATACAAAGCTATTTAATTATAACATCCAACACCATCAGTATAGGAGCAAATATGAACCGATCCCGATAAAATGAACTGGATAGATTTATATTTCTATAATATTTTTGTCTGTACTAAATTTCATTACAATAACAGTGAATTACGGATATTCAAGTCACTTTGTGAAGGGGGCTTTGAATGGGGGCTAGGGACAAATGGGGTCCGACCATTTCGAAATTAGCAAAGGTCATCAAGGCTTATATAAAACTGAGAGATACAATTATCTATATATATATAAAATTCTAACGTTACTGACTCACTGACTGATTCATCATCGCACAGCCTAAACGGTTGAAGCTAAAGAGCTGAAATTTGGACACGAGATTGGTCTCCCACCAAAAAGATCCACTAAGACGGTATGTTTAGAAATTCGAATGTTTAGGGGATAAAAAAGGGTAAAAACGGATAACCTCTTATCTCCTAAACAAGGAAAGATACAAAAACAGTTTAAAGCTTATTGTCGGTTATTTGAAAAATAAACGGACAGGTGTCTGGTACTTTTTCAAATTCGGCCCCTATAGTAAATAAACTGATAAAAACTGTATTTAGGTACTTTTTTGCACCCCATGTATCCTTTAAAACTTCATAATTTAACGAAAAAATAAAAATAATAATTTAGTACTTTTTGGATATTCGGTCGTTTAAGGGCTGAAAATTTTACCTATTTTTGATACTTTTTGAAAAAAAAAACATTGTTTCCTATGTATTGATTTGTACATGTAATTCTTCGGAATAAGATGTTTATTACTTCAATGGGGGAGAAATAAGTACCAAAAGGTGGAAAAAAGGGAAAATTGATTTTATTCAAACTCATTGACCAATTTTAGTAAAATTGGAGAAATTGGTAATTTAGTAACACTAAATATGCCAACTAGGAACTCCGGCACAAAGGAATATTTTTGTTTTTTTAGTTTTTTAACTGGTACTTTTGAGTTTTCTATAATATTGAACCTAGAAATATGAAATTAAGCATGTAGAGCCCGGAGTAAATGAGAATCTATAAAAGGGGAGTTTTTTGTACTTTTTTGTCCTTCGACTGGTACTTTTCGTTCTTCAAAATGTTGTTTTTGAATTTTCTATAATATTGAACTTAGAAACTTGAAATTAAACACGGAACATATAAAAGGGGACTTTTTGGTACTTTTTCGCTCTTCAAAAGGTACTTTTCCTATTTTCTATAATATTGCATCTAGAAGCATGTAGAGTCCGGATTAAGTGAGAACCTTTAAAAGGCGGACTTTTTGGTACTTTTTCGTTCTTCAAACGGTACTTCCGAATTTTTTTAAATATTGATTCTAGAAACATGAAATCTCTAAAAGGGGACTTTTTGATATTGCAGATATACGATCAAGGTAGCGAAGTACACTGGTATAGCTAGTATTATATATAATTATGAGCTCAAAAGCTCTTTTCGGGGGGGGGGGGGGGTGTTCTGTTGTATGAGGGTTAGGTGAAATAATGGACCTATTTTAACCATTTTCTAAAGGATTCCTTAGGTCAAAAGAAACGTGCACATCAAATTATCTTAATAAATTCCTATCTGTACTTTGATAACAACGTTTACATGGACACACGGACAGTCGGTCGGACGGACATCGTTAAATCGACTCAGAAAGTGATTCTGAGTCAATGGGTAACTTTAAGGTAAGTATAGTACTAATATTTTAGTGCGTTACAAACATCAGCACAAACGCATAACACCCTTCCCACTAAAGAAGCATTTCTGAGGAGTTATTTTAACAAGTTTTTGTCCTAAGAGTACTAGTCCTATTTAGCGATATTGCAAGATCATTCAAATAATCTATACAAGACAAATAATTCAAAAATACAAAAACTCCAGTCGAGCAATAGTTCAACATTTGGAAGAGTGAGAGAGAACGAAATGCAAAGCCCATAAACATGGTAAAAAGAAACCTGCTGAGGTATTGTAGAACACAATAGTAACAAATGAATCCAACTATGAAATAAGTATTAATATGTAGTCCGACTTGGACGACCATATTATATGAGATATAAAACTGCCGTTGTATAGGGGTTACGTAAAACAATGTACCGATTTTAATAATTTTCAATAAGCTTCGTTCTTGGAGAACGTGACACATTTTTAAAATTATCTTTAAAATTGCGATCTGTACGGTGCGCACAAAGTTTGCGTCGACACACAGACGGATGGACATAGATTAATCGACTCAAAATGATTCTCATCCGATTGGAATACATTAAGATGTATGTAGGACCATCCCCATTATTTGGGTATAAGGTTTAAAAATATGTTGAGGGATTATGAATCTACTATGCATTGGTATCACTAAGTAGTATAAACTAGTCTTTTAAAGTACTTTTTTATGGGCCTCGGTGTTATTTTGGCAAACAAAGTGATAATCTTCTCAGGCCCACATCTTACTCTCTGAGGGAAAGTTGCAGCTCTTGTCATAAAGAACAAAAATTGCGAACATACATATAAAATCCAAAAATCTTCATCTTCAAGATCAAATTCGCAAAAAACTTTAAAAATTCGATTTGTTACGTGTTAAATATATAGTGTTTGTAGTCTTTCTCTAAGGCGTATACTTAATATTCGCAATAGCAATAATTCATTAACACGTATACGTAGAGGTGTCGTTAATAACAACAGTGCAATTTTACATTGCAAAAGCTAACACTTGAAATGAAGTGATTAAAATTCGATTTTTTTTACGTGTTAAAAAATATTTCTAGTGCTTCTCTATGGCGTATACTTAATATTTGTAATATCAATAATTCACGTATACGTACAGGTGTTGTTAATAAAAACACTGCAACTTTACAATGCAAAACTTTCCACTTGAAATAAAGTGATTAAGATGATGTTTCTTTGATTTTATATGTTCAAAATTTTGAACAAACTTGCGAAAATGATCACTTTTGTGCAAAATTAAAACCGAGTCCCCAAATCTTTGGGGCCCATAAAAAAGTGCATAACTTTGAACAAAACTGGGAGACACAGGTGATCTTTTTTATCACATAGTGGTTCATCGGCTGTGTGTCTGGCATTATTTAGCACTTTCATAAGCTTGCGACGCTGGTTTCATTGTTCATTCATCCTTCCTACAACTGAAACTGAAATTTTTCTAACGCAGTGACCAATTTGGACCCATGTACACCATGGCAAGAATTGTTTCTTGTCATGGAATCTGTGTAAACGACCCTATCTATGCCCATCTTTTTAAAGCCTATGTTTCCTATGCTTAGCTTATGGCTTAGACCACTATGACAACAGGAAATTCTTATGAATGTCTTAAAATGACTCTCATTAACCTTAAAGGTTAGTCCTATCGAATATGGAAGGACTTTTCGTAATACCTAGTAAAGAGATTATTACTAGGTATTACAAAAGCCTGAATATCAGCTTCCATTCATTGGCCATTGACATAGTTATATTAAAGGAAGAGAATGAAATAGAATTCCACCAGATCCAGGAATAATCGGCATTAACTGTCCAAAAGCATAGATTACTCTTTTATTTCCATGGTCTCTTTTGTTTCTAACTATAACTCTTTCTATTTTGTCGCTTACGCCATTGGTTTACAATTACTGAGTCCTTGAACTTCAGAACATATTAATGAATGGTATTTATGCCTTCGCTTTTATTAAATCCGCATTTCATTTTCACACTTAAGAAAGATTGTATTAGAGCATTTTTATAAAATTCTATTCTATCCTCCCTAGTCCACTAGACATTATTTGGTAAGTTACAAAAACTAAATTCCTTAAAATTTAAATTAATACCATTTAATTTTTATTACTACCATTTAAATAATCGCTGATAAGCAACCAATCCACTAAAAGTGATAAAAACTGTCTGCCTAAAGAATAAAAATAAAATAAATTTAGCAAGAAATTAAAATTTTTGCGAGAAAAAAAAAAACAAAATAAATTTGTTTAAACAAAAAATCGTTTAATTTTTGTTTTCATTCCATAAAATAAAACTTTAATGATCAATTTTTGTCATACAGAGAAATCTTGTCAATGTCACAGACACTCTGACATACACACGCACAAACATACACAAATCTTAACATAGTTACATACATACAAACAAGTTATTTACACACATGCACTCAGTGTCGCATACTGGGACACATACACTTATCCAGAGAGACATACATTAAAGAAAAACATACTTAAACATAAAAAACATTTTAACACACAAGCACTCTCTCGCTCTCCTCTCACACTTTCAATTATCCAATGACAGTTACACTTTTTTTTGGAAAACTTGTTCGTTTATTTTTTACAAGAGTGCTTTTTTTTCTCTTTGAGGGAGTGAAATGGGGAGGGCTTTTCTTTTCATTTAAGTTGTTTTGTTTCACATTTTCTTTTGCTTTGTTTTTGTTCATGTTTCTGCAAACAATATTTCACATAAGCGCCTAAAAATGAACATACTATTGCTGCTGCTGCCACTGCGGATGGTGCAGCAGTGTCAGTTTTACTACAGCTGCTGGTAAAAATAAATTTAAAATTACAATGTGGAACAACTCAGACACAACTTTCGGGCACACGCTGTGTCATTAAACAATCCTTAATGGCCATGATGTTAATGTTATCGTCCAGGTCAGTGGATGAATTACACGATGTTGTTGTTGTCGATGGTGCTGCCGATGGCAGTGAATGTGAACCCAAAAGTAGGCCAACACCAGTTGTAGAACCCGGTGTACTGCCACTACCACCACTCAGAGCAGAAGTTGTTTGCGATGTTAACATCATGGTTGAGGGCGAAGGATGACCCGTATAATGGCCATGATTGCCACGACTACCCAACGTATTGTGATGATGCAATGTACTGTGATGAAGGTTAACACGACCTATGCTGCCGCCGCCCATCATGCCACCCACAACATTGCTGGCATTTGCATTTGCCGACGATGACGATGCAGCGGAGGGAGAGCAGGTGGCTGAGGTATGATGTAAACTTGACATGGCTGTGCCACTGCTGCTGTTAATGAGACTATTTAATATGTAGCCACCACCCGTCCCAAGACCGGGTGGTAGTGTACCAACACCGCTGGAGTGCAGTTGTTGCTGCAAGTGAGTGGTGGCTGCTATAGTTGATGTTGAAGCTAAAGATGTAGGTGAACCTATTATGTTGCCTACATCATGCATTAAACCAACACCACCACCTCCACTAGAGCCTGCAGCTCCAGTACGTGATATTGTTGTTGCAGTTGCATGTAGCAATGCTGTACCGGATGTTGTAGCTGCCGATGCTGTTGTTGCTGTTGGTGACATCATTGAGGCAGATGCCAAAAGATGGGTGCGTGCGTTGATTTGATTAAATTGCATGGGTATACTAACTGCAGTCTCACTACCAACTCCACCATTACCACCCGTAGGATTCTGTTGCATCATGTTTGTTTCGTAACTTTTGGTATGTTGCTGCTATTTAATAAAGATTCCCGCACCCAAAAAAATAAAATTGAGAATAGCACCAGGACATCAGCAAATGGTCGTAAGTAGTAATTGTAATTGTTGTTGTTGTTTTTATTACAAGAGTTGATGGCGATGATGATAATAATGATGTTGTTGTTGATTTCGATGGTAACCATGTTTTTGTATGCCAAATAATGTGCCATTTATTCCATTTACAGACAACGGCAAGCATTCAATCCAACCATGATTTCATATTGTTAAATTCATAAAAATTACGAAAAACGAGGAAGGAAGCATGAAAATAAGAGAAAAAGAAAAAAGAAATTTCGTTAAGGTTTTGTTTTTTTCTTTCAGTGTTCAACATTTTTACGTAAAACAAATTTGCTAATTTTTGTCTTTTGACTTTATGTCCTTTATTTCTGTTCGTTTCCTGTGAAATGTGTATAATTATAAACGAAATGCATTTGTATGATGAGTATGTGAAAGTTAACTTTTTATAATGTTTAAAATTAAGTTTGAGTTAAGGAAATGGCATATGGTGAATAATGTTGAATGAGTAACATTTACTCATGGTATTCAGAACAAAGGCTTATTTCTGTTTTCTGCTAGATTCGCTGCAAATTTTATATAGATATTTTATTGAAAATATATTAATTTATTTTGGAAATCTGTTTCTAACAATTTTTTTTTTTTAAATTTTAGAAAATTTGCCAAAAAAAATGAAAAAAATTTCTTAAACAAAGATATTTTCAAAAAACTTTGTACTAAAAGCAACATTTTCAGGGGAGGGGCTTGGAGCCCCATATGAATTAAATACAAAATTTGTATATCTGAGAAACTAACTGATAATCTTAAAATTTTACATGAACAACTTTGACATTCATGTGAACATTTAGAGAATAACGGGCAGACTTTCAGTGGGCGACTTGGCACCTCCCGTATGAATTCAATTCAAAATTTCGTAGATCTGGGAAACTATCAGATTGTTCAAATTTTTTCGTAGATTACACTCTTTATTAGCGTATGGAAAAATTGTCGAACTTGCAATAATTACCGTGGTATATCCCATATGTAACAAATTGTCCCATACAAAAATAGAAATTTTCCGAAAAATTTTCTATAAAAATAGAAATTTTCCGAAAAATTTTCTATAAAAATAGAAATTTTCCGAAAAATTTTCTATAAAAATAGAAATTTTCCGAAAAATTTTCTATAAAAATAGAAATTTTCCGAAAAATTTTCTATAAAAATAGAAATTTTCCGAAAAATTTTCTATAAAATAGAAATTTTCCGAAAAATTTTCTATAAAAATAGAAATTTTCCGAAAAATTTTCTATAAAAATAGAAATTTTCCGAAAAATTTTCTATAAAAATAGAAATTTTCCGAAAAATTTTCTATAAAAATAGAAATTTTCCGAAAAATTTTCTATAAAAATAGAAATTTTCCGAAAAATTTTCTATAAAAATAGAAATTTTCCGAGAAATTTTCTATAAAAATAGAAATTTTCCGAAAAATTTTCTATAAAAATAGAAATTTTCCGAAAAATTTTCTATAAAAATAGAAATTTTCCGAAAATTTTCTATAAAAATAGAAATTTTCCGAAAAATTTTCTATAAAAATAGAAATTTTCCGAGAAATTTCTATAAAAATAGAAATTTTCCGAAAAATTTTCTATAAAAAATTTTCTATAAAAATAGAAATTTTCCGAAAATTTTCTATAAAAATAGAATTTTCCGAAAAATTTTCTATAAAAATAGAAATTTTCCGAAAATTTTCTATAAAAATAGAAATTTTCCGAAAATTTTCTTATAAAAATAGAAATTTTCCGAAAATTTTCTATAAAAATAGAAATTTTCGGAAAATTTTCTATAAAAATAGAAATTTTCGGAAAATTTTCTATAAAAAATAGAAATTTTCGGAAAATTTTCTATAAAAATAGAAATTTTCGGAAAATTTTCTATAAAAATAGAAATTTTCGGAAAATTTTTCTATAAAAATAGAAATTTTCGGAAAATTTTCTATAAAAATAGAAATTTTCGGAAAATTTTCTATAAAAATAGAAATTTTCGGAAAATTTTCTATAAAAATAGAAATTTTCGGAAAATTTTCTATAAAAATAGAAATTTTCGGAAAATTTTCTATAAAAATAGAAATTTTCGGAAAAATTTCTATAAAAATAGAAATTTTCCGAAAATTTTCTATAAAAATAGAAATTTTCCGAAAATTTTCTATAAAAATAGAAATTTTCGGAAAATTTTCTATAAAAATAGAAATTTTCGGAAAATTTTCTATAAAAATAGAAATTTTCGGAAAATTTTCTATAAAAATAGAAATTTTCGGAAAATTTTCTATAAAAATAGAAATTTTCGGAAAATTTTCTATAAAAATAGGAATTTTCGGAAAATTTTCTATAAAAATAGAAATTTTCGGAAAATTTTCTATAAAAATAGGAATTTTCGGAAAATTTTCTATAAAAATAGAAATTTTCCGAAAATTTTCTATAAAAATAGAAATTTTCCGAAAAAGAGAGAAATGTTTCGAAAATTTTCTATAAAAAAATGTTTCGAAAATTGTCTATATATAGCGAAATTTTTCAAAAATTTTCTATATAAAAAGAAAAATTTTCCGAAAGTTTTCTATATAAAAATAGTAATTTGAAGAAATTATAATTTCTTTTAAAACTATACTTTTTGTTAATGGAAATTATGCTTTCATTAAGATTAAGTAATACAGCCTGTTATCTTAAGTGAGTAAAAAGGTTGTATACGTTATACTTTAAATTTCGTATTGCTCATACGTAAGAAATTGTAGTACTTCATACTTAAATCGTTTGGAGTTTTTCAAGTTGTATGTATTTATATAGCTTTGTGTATTTTCTCAGTTTTTTGTTAAATTCTCTTTATTTCATATATTTTCAGCCAATTAATACATATCTAATTGATCAGAAAGAAATATCTACACTAGCTATAAAACTCACAAATATTTATCATATTCATGGAAAAAATATTGAAAAATTACTACAAAATCATGTTTACATCATAAAATACTTAATAAAAAACATTTCCATTATTACTTTGTCTAATATTCCTTCAAAAATAGACAAAAAAAAAAAAAAAAAACAATGAATTTTCCTAAAAATATGCAATAAATTGGCAAACAATCACTTGAAACTTTTATATGAATGAAAACGTATATATGAATAGCATTTATTTTGCATCACATATCAATGAATGATAAGTAAAAATCTATTATTGTTTTTGCTCTTGCCATAGTATTGGTCGCAATAATAAAAAATTAAGAAAAAACAACAAAAATGTTGAGTGAAAGCAAACGAAAACAAATAAAAATTCATATAGATTTGATATTTTTCAATTATACTTACATTCGTACTCGGTGACCATTTCGATGTTGATGTAAAGTGATGGTTAACACTACCATTTGTAGCAGTATTTGGAATGCCATTTCCAACACCAACACCACCGCTGCCACTAACGCCACCAATACTGGCATTAGCTGAACTGGTAGAACTGCCACTTCCTACACTGCCAACTGTATATATATGAGAAAGTATTTTTTTGGTGGGATAAAAACAATGAACGAATGACGTAGATGAGAATGATTTTTTGGGTTTTTTTGGTTGAAATAAAAATGTGTGATGGGGTTTGAGAATGATTGGTTTGTGATGGAAATTTATTAAATTTTTGTGTTGTAATGCAAACGAATGCAACAAACAATATAGCGAACATATAAACGTGCAACATAACATGTATTGAGCACAAATTTTAGAAGATTTGATTTTTGGTTTTTAGAAGGGCCAACAAAAAAGAGGCCAAATATAGTATGTATATGAATACATGATTTTAGTATTTGTTGGTATATAGTTATATGGATTTTATATTGTGTTTTTCGTCCCGTATTTTCATTTTCATTTCAGTTATAGGTTTTTCAAAAAATCAAAAAAGAAATCATTGAGCGTATGTGTGAAGTAACCGACCATTCAAACAGACCAACCAACCAATCGACCATACGACCAAGCCAAACAGTAGCAATGGTTTGAAATTTGTCAGTATTGGTTGGAATTGGTTAAAATTGTTTAAATTGGTTTACAAACAAAATTGAATTTTTGTTGTTGTTTTTGTTTTAATTTTAATACCAGCAAACATTGATATATACAAATGTTTTATGCCAAATGCAAACAAATACGCGCGCAAAAAAAAACATAGAAATTTAGCAGGAAGCGGTGTTTATTGATTTTTGGGCGGATATTTTTTTTTATATATATTTCGTTTATTTGAAAATATGGTAAAATTTGTTTGATTAAAATTTTTATTTGTTGTGGCCATATGGTATTACGAGCATGTGTAGGAAAGAAAAAGAAAAAAAGAGAGCAAGAGATAGAAATAAAAATTAATTAGTAAATTTAGTGTCATTTGTTGTTAGCGTATAAATTTTATTTGATGCACGTACCGTATTGTGATGGTATAACATCTGGGTCACGTTCATCTTCTACCAGATCTTCGGAGGATTTTGATTTAATATCTGTATGCTGCCAACGAGGTTTTTCAATGCCGCCCTATACAAAAAGAAGATATAAAATATTAATTTTATAACTAATAATAAATATATATAAAAGTATAAAAATTGGATAAAAATAGATTTTTATTAGTATAATAATACTTTTATGTGGCTGACAAATTTTTAGCATAATTTGTTAAAAGGACATTTTGTTGGCAACAGGAATTGAATTATTTCCTTGTCTTAAAATGAATAGAAAATTCCTTAACATTTTGTATAAAAATAAAGTTTTTAGAATATTTTTAAAAATTTTCCTTTAAAGAAGAAAAGTTTTCCAAACAAGCAATAGAATTTTGTAAAAGTTTTCTATATAAAGCAAATCTTGTAAATATTTAGGTTAACTTAGATTCAAAAGGCAGACACTTCTGATCAAGAGTATATCATAGGTATTAGTTATTGTTTCTAGATTTCAACCTCCTGATTTCATTAGTTAATTAATGAATATGTTCAAGACTTATCCCAGATAGGTCCTCCATAAAGAATGGCAGTGTCAGATCAACCACCTGATTTCATGATTAAGACTTATCCCTGATAGCTCTTCTATAGCAGAAATAAAGAGAGTATCAAATTAATACTCTCTATTGTAGAGTAAATAGGATATAGTATTCCCTTTGACTTAACTACAAGAGCATGTCTTCCGACATAGCACAAAGTCTGGTGATTACTTATAACAGTAGTATTATTTGTTCAGTGCAGAGTTGAATATGTTCATGTTAGGTTAGGTTGATAGGAGGATGTATCTACATCAAATCCGAAGAAATACACCTAGGCCTCTATCGGGCCTGTTGTGCGCTCCTTTTCATGGAAAACGTTTGTTGGTAAAAACAAAAACCTTATATAGTATTTACTAAATGTATTATCGTCCGATGTTCAGTAAGAATTTTCCAATCAGTGTTCGTAAGGGATATTATATCCGGAATAATATCACTTTCAAGATATTTGAATCTAATTTTGGCGATAGCCTGACAATGGCAAAGAAAGTGCTCCAGATTTTCAATGTCCTCTCTACATGCTCTATATTCGTCTGAATCCACATGTCCAATTTTGTGTAGGTGTGCCCGTAATCCTGTGTGTCCACTCAGAATACGTAATATCATACTCCGCTTGACCAAGACATTCTATCTGGGATCAGTGTTTTAAGTTTTCCGACATATTTTGTCTGGTATGCGATTGTGTTCATGTAGTTAGATTTGAAGGAGCTTCTTACAATTTGTAAGAATGATATCGTATAGTTACTATCTAATCTCATCGTTCATCATCAGTTCATTAACCATAGAGCTAACACGGTACTTATTGTAACTTGGGACTCATACTCGCGACATGACAGATTGTCTCAATATCTGGTATAGAGATACCAAATATTCTTTTATAACACTAAAAGGACACTCGATAAATTTCTAATAGTAACTTTACACTCAGTCTTTCAGTCTTGGTCTCTATGTGATGGTAGAAGGTCTCATAGTTTGTTGGAGCTTTTAAGAATTAGGCTGCATCTAGTGGTGGTCACATTAGCGGGGACTATGCTAGAAGACTGAATCCTCCATACAACGATTTCTGAAGAAGTTGAAGATATAATCTATATATATATATATAAAAATGAATGTGAGTTTGTTTGTATGTTAGTATGTTTGAACGTTATAGACTACAAAACTGCTGAACCGATTTTCTTGAAATTTTCACAGCGTATTCCTGTATGTCTGGAATAGATAATAGGCTACTTTTTATTTTGAAATTTCAAGTGAGCGAGGTGCCACGCCCATATTAAGAAAATATTAAATCCGTATATTTGAGATAATATAACAGTTAGAGTCCTCAAATTTTGTCAGAGCCACTTTAGAGTCAATATAATTATTTAGGACAAAAAGTAGGCGGACTAGCATTAGGGGGCGTGGCACCTCCCATATAAATTAAAAACAAAAATTCGTTTATCTTAGAAACAATTACAGTTAGAATCTTAAAATTTTGCACAAATAACTTTAACATCCATGTTAACATTTTGGGAAATAAATTGGCGGGCTACCCATGAGGGGAGCGGCACCTCCCATATTAATTAAATGCAAAAATTCGTTTATCTGGGAAACTAATAGAACTAAATTCTTCAACTTTTGCACTAAGAACTTAAATATTTGTCTAAGCATTTTGGATGAAAAAGATCGGACTTCTATCTGGGGGGGCTTGGAGTCCCCATATGAATTAAATAGAAAAATTCGTATATCTGAGAAACTATTAGAGCTAGAATCTTAAAATTTTACTTGAAGAACTTTGACATTCATCTAAACAATTATGGTATAACGGGCGGACTTTCAATGGGGGACTTGGTACCTCCCATATTAATTAAATACAAAATTACGTTTATCTGGGTAACTAATAGAACTAGATTCTTCAAATTTTGCACAAATTACTTTAATATTCATCTAAACATTTTGGAGAAAAAAGGGCGGGCTTTTATCTTGGGGGCTTGAAACCCCCACATGAATTTAATAGAAAAATTCTTATATCTGAGAAACTATTAGATGTAGAATCTTTAAATATTACATGAAGTACTTTAACATTAATGTGAACTAAGGTGACAATCTATATATTTCTAATAGCAGCTTTGCCATCAGTCTGTTAGACTTTGTCTCTATATGATGGTAGAAGGTCTCATAGTTTGTTGCTGCTTTCAAGAGTTAGGCTAAGACTATTGGTAGCTATACTGACAGAACACTGTAAAATAAGTGCGCAAGCTAGAATACTGAATCCTACATACAACGATTTCTGTTGAATATTTCTTTTGTCATTGCCCCGCAGTCTCGGATATCAGAACAGTTTGGCGCTTTCATGAGTTAGACAGTGACTGTTGGTAGCTATACTGAGAGGGCGCTGTAATGCTAGAAGACTGAATCTTCCATACAATGACTTATGTAGAAGTTTCCATAACGAATACGAGAAGTATAATATTGAACATTTCCTATGTGACTTTCCGGCGCTTTGATCTTTCAGAACTGCTACTTTTGGTAGTCCTACATTGTACAGTGGATCTATCTAGGATTGATATGAATAGGATAGAATCCTTTGTATGTATCTATGGTTTAACTGCGTGTTAAAGACGGATATGTAAATGGGTTGAGTCGCGGTCCAATTCAGGACCACGGCAGTCGACTCTCTTGTCGACTGCCTCAACAACCTAACCTCTAAATACATATATATGTACATATATACCTCGATATGTCATAAAACTTTAGTCAATTCGCTGCTCGTTTTATGAAGAACAATAGTTAGTTTGAAAAATAATCTAGTCCTGAAGAAGCCAAGTCAAGTTATTTTGCATAGTTTTCAGTGTGACTCCATTCAACTTCGACTCCACTCATAATGGCACTTATTATCCCAATACTCAATATTGTTAATGTGTTTGACAGTCGTCACTCAGTCCATAAGAAGAAGGTTACCACTGGGTACAACATCATTAAAATCGCAAAATGCAACAATGGAATACACTCTGTGTGATAGAGAGCCTTCAATATATCCAAAAAATATAGCATGAAGATTTGTATTAACAAATTTGCTTTTGGTATTGGCATGACGCGAATTTGAGTTAAGTTCCCTAGTAGTGTAGTTTATCATAAATCTACACCAATAACCCTTTCCTAAGTTTTAAGTGGGAAAGATTTCAGACTAATTTAAAAAAAATCTCATAAATTGAGAATAAATAAATAGAAAAATTTCGAAGCGTTTTATGGTTTTCACATCAATTTAATTTTATATAACTTCCATTAATTCCACTTACTCCCATTCCACTTATTTTAACAAATTAAATTTCCAAAGGTGTTTTTCCCTCGTTATATTTTCATTATAAAACTCATTAGTACAATATGAAATGAAACGCTATAATAATTTCATATTTACGTGTTTATTTTTATAAACCTCATATTTTTAAAGTCATAATTTTCATTTGTGCACTGCTGTCAATCATGTATGATTTAAAAATAAAATATTCATATGTATACAATAACTCCCTTTGACCATATATGTCCTTCACAACAAAACACTCAAACACATATGTATTGGAATTTCTAAATCAACAAGTAAACATACAAGCAATCTGTAAATGTGTATGTTTATATGTGTTTTACATACGCTACAGATTGTAGATATAAATAACAGAAAATATATATTGTTACTGTAATACATACCTTATATACATCACCCGTTTGTGCCACGACAGCTGTGGCTGTTGCTTTTGTACCATGCTGACGATTGCGACGTAAATTGTGTAAAAATGTCATCATGAATATTTTCAAAGCTATAGCCAAACTAATAATAACAATTGTAAGGACACTCCCCACGATAACGGGTGACAACGTCAAGGATACATCATCATCTATAGAGTTTTTTGTTTGTAGTTGTTATTATTATTGTTTTTAATATGAAAACAAATACATATGTAAGTATACATATATGGGTGCGGGATCATCATAAAGGGAAGAGACAATAGTAGTAAAAAGGAAGAGAGAGAAAAAAATTAAATTGAATTGTATGATTCAACATGAAAAAGTATAAGAGTTTACATATGATATGTTATTGTTGCTGCTGTTGTTGTTTTTTCTTTATTGTTGCTGCTGTCATTGTATAAAACCATTATAATGGCAGGTTTGTGTCAGTCAGTCATTCACTCACTGAGACTGTTTTTGTGTTTGTGTGTACTATAAGCCTTTACTCGTCATAGATGTTTGACATGTTGTGGTTTTAATATTGCACAATGGCGTGTTTTCAATTGTTAGAAAAAAGGACAATTTTATAGTAATATATTAGAGTATGAAAACTTTTTTTTTTAATTCATGTTTTTAACCAGTTCCAATTTCAATAGTTGTTTTTACATATACGTATGAGTAATATACAATTAGTGTCATATTGGAATATTACTCATACGCCTAATTAAGAGAAAGATAAAACGATTTCACAGTTTATAGTTCGAAAATCAAATGATATACATACATATGTATAACATAAAGTAATTTTTCCCGTATACGTATGAGTAATATGTAATTAAAACCATTTTTGCATAATACTCATACGCATAATTAAGAGAAAAGTGAATATATTATTTTATAGTTCATAGACCAGTATATAAATACATATTTAAATTAGTGCATAGACTAGACAAAATTTTGGTCCACGGACTAGTTAGTAGACCACTCCAAAGGGTATTCAAAATACTATTTTGTATAGTATTCCTTGAGTAGTACATAATAACTAATCTAGTAGACTTATCTAAAGACTTGTACACAGACTACGTCATAGACTAGCCCATAGACTAGCTCACAGACCAGTCCACAGACTACTCCACATACCACTCCACAGACTCCTACACAGACTAGTCTACAGACTACTTTACAAACTAGTCCATAGACTAATCCATAGACTACGCAAGAGATTAGTCTTTCCGCCATTTTTAATTTTTTGGTCTTAATTTTCCAAGTCTTCTCCAGAAAAACTCTCAATAACTAACCGATATTTTTTTAAATTCTCCTCCCCATTGTGCACACTTGAGTTTACATTGAAATTTACTGTTTGTTATTGTAGCGATTTTTTAATATTTTTCACACAACATACATACACCGTCAATCATAAAACCACTTTTTTTATTAACCCACACATCCCCACCTACACAAACTTACGTTTACAAATAATTGAGCATACAAACACAGTTATACACTCACTCCTTCTCCGACACAAAGCAAACAAACCTTTATAAAATGTAAATGGGTGTGTGTGTGTTTGTATTTGTTTGTTCATTTGTAACTTGTTTACATTTGTTTTTGTATATAACCATTGTTTGTCGATATTGTAGTTGTTGTTGCTGTTGTTTTGACATCGTTATATTTTGCATCACAATCAATAAAAACAATCATAAATCATAGGAAGGTTGTCAACGTTTGTTTTTTTGTATTGGTTCTCTCCTCTTGTTTTTATTAATATTTTGTTGTTGTAGCTTTTGTCTTTTTGCTATTTTGCGTGTCACCGTTTTGTTTGTACGTGCGAAATTTAATCCATTTCAAATTGTATCCTTCACTCTTTTACCCACTTTATAACAACATACGCAATTTTTCCTCCAGCTGGCATATAAACATACATATGTACCTCTGGATATGTACCTACATATGTATGTATTTTCACCATAGGTGTTCAATTTAGTTTTTGTTGCCGTAATGCTGAGTGTTTTTTCGTCATATGAAAAATATGTTTGTTTTTGTGCTTATACATGTTTTGTTGACATATGAAGCCATTAGTATAGGAGTTATATAGGAGTAGCAATAAAGGTTCAGCCGAAATTTGTATGTATAGTATGTGGAACTACAGCGCCAAGTTGTTGAAATACAAACATACGCGGTAAACATGTAAATTATAACCACAAAGTTCAGTTACTATATATGGCCTAACAAACACATATTCATATGTATGTATGCAACAGCACATGCACCATCTTGACATACATATTTCATATTGGGTTTTACGGCTAAAAATTGGTGCACAATAAGAAAATGTTTAATATTGCATATTGAATTTTAACAAAATATTTGGTTTACATTTTTATGATTCCGCCGCCGAACTACTGTTTAGCTTAAAGCTTTAAAAGCTTTTTTATTATTAAACAATACATTTTGCTAATACAAGCAGCTGTTATAAACATTTACTTATTTAGAAATAAAAAAATATTCTTTTAAACATTTTATACAATTTATTGTTTAAAATTTTGCCTAAAGGTCATCAATTGTTATTGATATTAATGTATTTGTCGACTACACTTATTTATAATGTTATTGAGAGATTATTAATATATTTGGTTAAGTATGAAAAAAATATATATATTTTCTTAAATAAGAAAAAAATAATAATAATAATAAGATGGTTTGAGCAACAAAGAAATTTTGGATGTTTTTGGTTTATTTGTATCTATATATATCAACTGATATATTATTATGAAATGGTTATTTCAAAAAAGTGCTCTTTTGTTAAAACTAGCAATTTCATGAGAGAAGATTTGAAATATTGATTTTGTCTTCAAATATTGCCTATAAAGTTTGCTTTGTATTGAAAATGGTAAATAGCATACAATGGGTTTTTATGTACCAATACTACTCCATGAAGATTGTTATCAATCTCTACAAGTTCTAGAAAGATCATTGAAAAGAATATCTATCGAAAAAGCAGACACCACCTCACTTTAAATGGCTAAAATGTTTGTATTTCTATTTACTTCCAATCCACCCTTTCGTATAAGTAATATTTTATATATGTGTATTTCCAAAAAAATATTACGTATACGTATACAGAATTTTTATCATGTCAAAACGAATTGAGACTTAAAGTTTCATTTTTTCAAAATCAATTTCATATACACAGCATGAGTTCTTATAAATGCTTAATATATGTTGATTTTGCAATGCTTTAACTTAAAGGTCAATGAAGGCTTAAAATTAAGATTTCTCAAAAATCTTTCTAAGAATATTTTCAATATTTTTTCTTTTATTTTAAAAATAGTCTTAAATTCCAAAAATTATTACATGTTTCCTGCTCTTTCCTTGATTACATGTGTAACCTTAACCCTTGTACAAATTTAAATTTATTTCCGTTTTACAAAGCACACAACAATCCTTATCAAAAATCTAAATCCTACAATTTATCGTATTTTTACTAACAAATCTTATCACATACAACATGTCCTGCTCAACAATTTAAATATGTTGAAATTTAGTTTTTTTTACATTTAAGTTGCTTTAATATTTATTTTTGCTTTAGTATTCGTTTTGCTGATTGCCAAATGCTTGCGGCAAAATAGAAAACTAAATGTATATTTGCAAATAACCCCAAAAAGAGAAATGTAAACAAACATGACGATAGAGAATGTAAAAGAGAAAGATGCAAGGTTTAAAGTAGGAAAAAAAATTGATGAAAAACTACACCCAAATCAATCTTGTTTTACCTAATGGCTTATTTTACAAACACAAAATTCTTTTTAAATGCCAACTTAAATATGCATATATGAAAAAATACGTGGGTAGAGTGATAAGTTATAGTATAGTTATATAACTAACTAACTAACTAACTAACTAACTAACTAACTAACTAACTAACTAACTAACTAACTACTAACTAACTAACTAACTAACTAACTAACTAACTACTAACTAACTAACTAACTAACTAACTAACTAACTAACTAACTAACTAACTAACTACTAACTAACTAACTAACTAACTAACTAACTAACTAACTAACTAACTAACTAACTAACTAACTAACTAACTAACTAACTAACTAACTAACTAACTAACTAACTAACTAACAAACTAACAAACTAACAAACTAACAAACTAACAAACTAACTAACTAACTACACTAACTACTAACTAACTAACTAACTAACTAACTAACTAACTAACTAACTAACTAACTAACTAACTAACTAACTAACTAACTAACTAACTAACTAACTAACTAACTAACTAACTAACTACTAACTAACTAACTACAACTAACTAACTAACTAACTAACTAACTAACTAACTAACTAACTAACTAACTAACTAACTAACTAACTAACTAACTAACTAACTAACTAACTAACTAACTAACTAACTAACTACTAACTAACTAACTAACTAACTAACTAACTAACTAACTAACTAACTAACTAACTAACTACTAACTAACTAACTACTAACTAACTACTAACTAACTAACTAACTACTAACTAACTAACTAACTAACTAACTACTAACTAACTAACTAACTAACTAACTAACTACTAACTAACTAACTAACTAACTAACTAACTAACTAACTAACTAACTAACTAACTACTAACTACTAACTAACTAACTAACTAACTAACTAACTAACTAACTAACTAACTAACTAACTAACTAACTAACTAACTAACTAACTAACTAACTAACTACTAACTAACTAACTAACTAACTAACTAACTAACTAACTAACTAACTAACTAACTAACTAACTAACTAACTAACTAACTAACTAACTAACTAACTAACTAACTAACTAACTAACTAACTAACTAACTAACTAACTAACTAACTAACTAACTAACTAACTAACTAACTAACTAACTAACTAACTAACTAACTAACTAACTAACTAACTAACTACTAACTACTAACTAACTACACTAACTAACTAACTAACTAACTAACTAACTAACTAACTAACTAACTAAACTAACTAACTACTAACAACTAACTAACTAACTAACTAACTAACTAACTAACTAACTACTAACTAACTAACTAACTACTAACTACTAACTAACTAACTAACTAACTAACTACTACTAACTAACTAACTAACTAACTAACTAACTAACTACTAACTAACTAACTAACTAACTAACTAACTAACTAACTAACTAACTAACTACTAACTACTAACTAACAAAACTACTAACTAACTAACTAACTAACTAACTAACCTAACTAACTAACTAACTAACTAACTAACTAACTACTAACTAACTAACTACTAACTAACTAACTACTAACTAACTACTAACTAACTAACTAACTAACTAACTAACTACTAACTACTAACTAACTAACTAACTAACTAACTAACTAACTAACTAACTACTAACTAACTAACTAACTAACTAACTAACTAACTAACTAACTAACTAACTAACTAACTAACTAACTAACTAACTACTAACTACTAACTAACTAACTAACTAACTAACTAACTAACTAACTAACTAACTAACTAACTAACTAACTAACTACTAACTAACTAACTAACTAACTAACTACTAACTAACTAACTACTCCTAACTACTAACTAACTAACTAACTAACTAACTACTAACTAACACTAACTAACTAACTAACTAACTAACTAACTAACTAACTACTACTAACTACTAACTAACTAACTACACTACTAACTAACTAACTAACTAACTAACTAACTAACTAACTACTAACTAACTAACTAACTACTACTAACTAACTAACTAACTAACTAACTAACTACTAACTAACTAACTAACTAACTAACTAACTAACTAACTAACTAACTAACTAACTAACTAACTAACTAACTACTAACAACTAACTAACTAACTAACTAACTAACTAACTAACTAACTCACTACAAACTAACTAACTAACTAACTAACTAACTAGCTAACTAACTACTAACTAACTAACTAACTAACTAACTAACTAACTAACTAACTAACAAAATAACTAACTAACTAACTAACTAACTAACTAACTAACTAACTAACTAACTAACTAACTAACTCACTCACTAACTAACTAACTAACTTGATGAATACCTCTACAGCCAAACGTTTTGTAGATACAGCTTAAGCACATCATAATGATCACATTCACTTCAGTTTATCACTAAGCTATCGTTAGTGTTCAACTTTAAATAATGATTTAAAGCTAAACTTCCCGTGTATCAGGCTTCCTTGGCACACAGTTTAAGAGCAAATATTATCTTAAGGAGTTTTGAAATTTGCAAAAATCTTTGACCCAAACCATACCACACAGTCCACGTAACACTTATGAATGAATCACTGTAATGACAACAACTTAAAGGTAGTAAAGAATATGGAGAAAAAAGTCCGCAAAAAAAAAAAAAAACAAAAATAAACATGTTGCCGCAAGCAAAACAGAAACAAAATCAACAGCTAAGGAAAAGAAAAACGAAAGTAGAAAAAAAAATTTTTTTTGCCAAGATACCAACTAAAAACAAACATTTCTGTAGGATATCAGGTGCTTAGTAATGTTTTCTTTTAGCTATAACAACACGAACGAACAGCAATAACAACAGCCAACCACATTACTCAAAAACACCTGTCGAATCTAACATGTCATCAGGTAATCAATCATTGTCTCGTGGCTCAAGAACGTATACAAAGTTACAAAAAGAAAAATCCAAGAAAAAAATCACTTGCGTACATACATAAGTATAATCAGAAAGCTGACATTATAATGATGAAAATTACTGGAAAAAATGTATGTATGTGTATGGAAACACCTTAAGGCATTAGACGCCATAAAAAGTAAAAGCAAAAACATGTGATGACAGTTGGTGATACAAGAGGCAGCAGCAATATTTTAACATAAAATTTAGATTTCATCATTAAGAGTTTTTTACTTTCTACTTACCATTCTTAAAGGCTGTAGAACCAATAATGAAATCAGCTATGGGATAAGCAGGACTACGTCCTTTTTGATTGAAGGCATAGATGCGCAACTTTAATGAATTATTTTCTTGTGTCATTAACGATGTCAATGAATCTAAATTTTCCAAAGAAAATTGCGGCTCCTCGGGATTTGTAACGTTAAATCTGTAAGAAAAATAAAAATGTATAAAGATTAAAACAGTTTCCTGTATTACATCCTTTTCACACTTTTTCATATTTTAAACTCAGATAAATTCATGATTTTATCATCATTTTAACATCAAATCAATTTCCCTTTAGATGTAAATTCTGTTTGAATTTATTCTTATTATCTTTTCTGTTTTATAAGGAAGTTGTTGCTGCCGTTTTTTTGATATTTTCTTAGAGTCCTGCATAATATTTTTATGATTATGATTTCTATTTTATACAAGCTTAAAAAAACTTTATTATTTTGGGTTTGATTTTTATTTAAATTTTCTTTTTTACTGCTTCTGTGTTCAGTAAAATTTAACGATTCTGCCTTATTTTACCATCGACCACCAAAAGATTATCAATTCAAATTTTATTTGTATTTTATGGTTAGAGTGTTAGGTGGTGTCAAACATCCGGTTACTGAAACAGTGGATTGCAGTGCAGTGAAAAATATCAAAACAAACACCTCTAACATTTACCCTATACATACATCCTCTACTATGATCCCCTAACATAACAGAAGAATTCAGAGAATATAATTCAACACCTACTTATTTAGTTCTTCTGTCCCACTGTATCTGCTAACCAAAAAACTAACAACATAAACATAATCAATAAATATTAAATATTTTTTCTAACTTTTTAAGATTTTTCTTTTTCACCATTTTCCCTTTTCAAACATAATTTTGCTTTCACCAAACCACAAGTAGTATTTGAAAAACACTTTAAATACAATAACTACGATTCATTTGTGGTAATGGTTTGTATTAAAATAACATTTATATGATGATATTTTGTTGTTGTTGGTTTTCTCCTTTTTTATTTATTTATCATTCAAGAGGGTTTCATTTATTTTATAGTTTTTGTTCTGTAATTTGATAAGCAGAGCAAAAACGAGAAAAACGAACATCGAAAATATTTATAATCAAAATGAGATTATTGTTTTTATTATCTTATGAATATTTTTGGTTAAATTTTAAAAAAGGGTGTTTTTAAAACATCACTGGAGGAATTTTTAGAGTTTGGTTTGGATTCTCATAATAAACTTTAGAAATTATTGAAAATGATTATATAGAAAATTCTATAGTCATAGATTTATAGTCAAGACAATAGACAAGTTTATAGTCAAGAATATAGACAGGTCTATGTCTATAGTCAAGACTACAGACTGGTCTATAGTCACGACTACAGACTGGTCTAAAGTCAAGACTATAGACAGGTTTATAGTCAAGGCCATATACAGGTCTATAGTCCAGACTATAGACTGGTCTATAGTCAAGACAGGTCTATAGTAGATTATAGATATACGGTCAAGGTCTATAGGCAAGACCACATATAGGGTTACAGTCATGACCACAGACAGGTCTATAATCAAGGCTATGGACAGTTCTATAGTCAAGACTATAGTATAGAAAGTTCTATAGTGCAGACCATAGACAGGTATATACTCAAGACTATAGACAGGTCTTTAGTCAAGATTATAGAGAGTTCTATAGTCAAGACTTAAGCTATTTCTATATTTAAGACTGTAGACAGTTCTTTAGTTAAGACTTTAGACACTTCTACAGTCAAGACTATAGGCAGTCTAAAGTCAAGACTATAAAAAGTTCTATAGTAAAGACTAGAAGACTAGTTCTATTGCCAACACTATAGACAGTTCTATATTCAACACTATAGACAGTTCTATAGTCAAGACCATAGATAGGTCTGTAGTCAAGACCATAGACAGTTCTTTAGGTAAGACCCTGGACAGGTCTATAGGCCTGTGTATGGTACACAGACCTATAGCCAAGACCATAGACATAGTCTAGATTATAGACAGGTCTACGGACATGACCATAGACAGGTTTATAGACAAGACTATAGATAGTTCTATAGTCAAGACTATAGATAGTTCTATAGTCAAGACTACAGACAGTTTTATAGTCAAGACTATAGACAGTTCTATAGTCAAGACTATAGACTTTTCTATAGCCAAGACTATAATCACGACTATAGATAGTTCTATAGAAAAGACTACAGTTAGGACTATTGATGGTGCTATAGTCAAGACTATAGACAGTTCTATAGTCAAGACCACAGACAGTTTTATAGTCAAGACTATAGACAGTTTTATAGTCAAAACTATAGACAGTTCTATAGTAAAGACTATAGACAGTTCTATAGCCAAGGCTACAATCAGGACTATTGATGGTTCTATAGTCAAGACTATAGACATTTCCATATTCAAGACCACAGACAGTTTTATGGTCAAGACTATAGACAGTTCTATAGTCAAGATTATATACAGTTCTATAGCCAAGACTATAGACAGTTCTACAGTTCAGACTATAGACAGTTCCATAGTCAAGACTGTAGACATTTCTATAGTCAAGACTGTAGACAGTTCTATAGGCAAGACCATAGACAGTTCTATAGTCAATACTATAGATAGTTTTATAGGCAATACCATATACAGGTCTTTAGTTAACACCCTAGACAGGTCTATAGTCAAGACTATAGGCAGGTCTATAGTCAAGGCTATAGGTAGGTCTATAGTCAATACTATAGGCAGGTCTATAGTCAAGTCTAGAGATATTTAGTCAAGACTAGAAAGATAGATAGTTCTATAGTCAAGACTATAGACAGTTCTATAGCCAAGACTATAGATAGTTCTTTAGTCAAGATTATAGACAGTTCTATAGTTAAGACTATAAACAGTTCTATAGTCAAGATTATAGACAGTTCTATAGCCAAGACTATAGACAGTTCTATATTCCAGACTATAGACAGTTCTATAGTCAAGACTGTAGACAGTTCTATAGTCAATACTATAGATAGTACTATAGACAGTTCTATAGTCAAGACTGTAGACAGTTCTATAGTCAATACTATAGATAGTTCTATAGTCAAGACCATAGACAGGTTTTTAGTCAACACACTACAGAGGTCTATAGTCAAGAATATAGACATGTCTTTAGTCAAGGCAGATCTATATTCAGGACTATAGGCAGGTCTATAGTCAAGACTATAAACAGGTCTACATACTATACCATAGACAGGACTATAGCCAAAACTATAGACATTATATATTCAAAATCAGATTTTGACGCTATGAACTGGTATGGCTATGAAGATAAGACTGGTTATTGCTCTTTAAAAATGATGATTTATGAATATTAACTAAATTATAGTTCAGAGAGGATATACCCTGGAGAATGAGCACACAAACATTTATAAGTCCTTTAGAGTCCTTTTAGATACTGACACCTGTCAATTCATGTTAGATATTCCTTTACCTTGTCTTATTGTTGACTGCATATTTATAAACATTTTGTTTACAAATATTCTTAAAAAGCATACAAAATACACGTGTGTAAACCATATACCCTCCCCTATTAAATTTACATTTTATTAAACTAAATTTTCCATATTTACTTACAACAAAATCAATACATTTACAAATAAATATATTCGCATAAATGTAAGCATCTTTGTTTTAACATTTAATTTACATAAGAATTGTTTTCGAAATACTTGTGTCAAAGTTAAGTTTTAGCATAAATATTTATTTGACTTTTTCTTTAAAGAGGATGACATTTTTGCCGAAAAGATTTATGTGTAAATTCTGTAGGAGAGTAAACAATAAAATATTGTTAAGGTTGTGAAAAAAACCAGTGATAGGTATAGATTTCAGATAGATATGAAAAGTATGCTAAAAAGTGTGGTTTTTGTTGTTTAGTCTAAGAGTAGACTAGGTTAGTCCGTTGGCAGGTATATGAACCAATTTAGGGTATTTTTCGTTTTCAAACTGATGACTGAAAATTGTAAGAACTCGGGTATTTGGTCTACTATAAACAATACAAATTTTAAATAAGTTCAAATTTAAAGAAAAATGAACTTAAAAGCAATAAAAAATATAATTTAATTTAAATACATTTCCACTTAATATTATAAATGATACTTCAATGCTAATACTTATGCAAAATATTTCCTTATTTTTAATATAAAAGTTATATATTACTATCTCTCACTAAACTGACAGTATCATTGCCTTGACAATAAGACAAATTCCATTATATCATTATACACTTAATACAACAAAAAAAAAAAAAAACACTACTTAAGATATTCATTGTTTACCCATGCCCGCAAACTTACATTTCCCTCCACAATTTGACACTAATGTCTTGATAAATTGAAAAAATAACTTTAATAACTAACTACCTTTAAACATTAATGCTGCATATAAAACGGCGGTGACATATAAATATTTTATATAGTATATTAAGAAATTGAAAGAAAATATTTGTACTTCAACAACGACATACTTATAAATTTATTCTTGCTAAATCAACTAATGATGGTAAAAAGGATACTGGCGCTTTTTCGTTTTTTTGTCTCCTTTTCGTATATTTTTGGTTTTTCTTACATGACTGACAAAATTCCCAAGACTGATAATAAAGCAACCACCAAAACAAGAATGAAGGGAATATAAAATTTAAGGTATAGTAGGTGACATAGACGAATTGTTTATACCCTAGTAAAATTTTACAAGTTTTCCTATAGTTACCTAAAAGTATGCCGCATATTTCTAACAACACTTTGCTATATAGTTTTCTTTTTTTAAGGGTTTAATGGAATTTTTCTGCAAAGGTTCTTTTTTGGTTGCAACACATAAACAACGCCATGTTAAACGTTATAAATCCTTCATCACAAATTTTGTTTTTTCATCAGAATTTTTTGTCACAAGAAAAACTGACAAAAAGGTATTTATAGACAAATAAACTCAAGGATACATAAATTGTTGGTTAAAGAATGCTTGAACCGAAAAAAAAAATCCAACAGTAGACAAAAACAAAAAAAATATATTAATAGAGACAAAAACGCTAAAATTAACAACCTTTTCCATTAAAATAACAACGTTGCCAGAACAAACAAAAAAAAATTGCGAGAAAGAGAAAAACTGTATATGAACAGAATAACAACAAAATGATAAGGGTTCTAAAGGAAAAACTTAAGAACGAGTAGAGCATTTAAAGCCACTTGAGATTTTACTTAAGAGTTTTTATAGTTGCTATATATGCTAAGGATATTCACTATACAATTATACATACTAACAAACATATAGTATACCTTAAGCACTTGTACTAACTTATATACACTCATTTAGTTATATAAACTTTTTCTCACATTCACCCTCACACACTTTCTCGTGCTTATCCTACATGACAATTGAGCAGTTGAGAGTGGCTGCTTGGTTGAGTATGAGCATGTATGTATGTTGAAAAAATGTTTGTTTATTTAGGAAAATATTGTAAAAATGTTACATACTGTTAACCGTTGTACTGTTGCTGCTCATAAATCATTCAACATTTGAAATAAAATTTAGAAAAAAATTAAATTGTGAAAACAGAACTGAACCGAAGTTAAGGACAACAGGAACATACATTTGAAGCTGGTTTATGCTTTAATTTGTGTGAGTTTCTTTTTTACAAGGAATACATAGAAAAAGTAGTTTCTTTATGGAAAAAAAAACTCAGGAAAAACTTGATCAGAGAGCATCATTATCTCTTAATACTAAACTAGAGGCTGTTCTATATACATATAATAGACAACCCGTTCTATAGAAGAGCTTTAGTTGCTTAAGCTACTATAGAAAATTTTTAGTTGAATAACCTAATACAGTCCTTATTACAGAACAGCTTTGCTTGATCTACAACTAGAGACTTTTTCGAGTTTTGATACTTGCAACTTTTATATAGAAGAGCTTTTATTGATCTTGGAACTAAAGCTTTTCCTTAAGAAAAGCTTTAATTGCTACAGCATTTCTATGTAAAAACTATACTTGATCTAGAAACTAAATTTGTTTCCTACAGAAAAGTTTTAAATGCTTTAGCATATAGAGTAACTTCTTTAGAAGAGCATTTGTTTATGCAAGGTTTAGTTGCATAATCTACTACTGTCCTTTCTTTAGTTGATTTGATATGGCAACTACAGGCTTTTCCATAAAAGAGCTTTTGTTGATCTAGAAACTAAAGTTTTTTCCTACAGAAAAGCTTCAAATACTTTAGCATATAGAGTATCTTCTTTAGAAGAGCATTAGTTTAAGCAAGCTTTAGTTGCATAAGCTACTACAATCCTTTCTTTAGAAGAGCTTTTAGATAGAAGAACTTTTGTTGATCTAGGAACTAAAGTTTTTTCTACAGAAAAGCTTTAAATACTTTACTATATAGAGTACCTTAAGTTACTAAAGATGCGAGAGCCTTTTCAATAGAATTTTATTTGATCTAGCAACTAAAGTCTTTCTTATATAAGAGCTTTTGTTACTCTAGTAACTAGGCTCTTTCTATAGAATTGCGTTATATAAAGTAGCAGCTAAAGGCTTTTCTATAGAAGACCTTTTCTTGCTCTAGAAACTAGAGCTTTTTCCACAGAAAATCTTTATTTTGCATCTATATATTTTTTGGAAGCCAAACTTGAGATCTGCACGCTTTTGCAATTAAAATCTATTTTTAAAAGAGGTGTAGTTGCTTAAAGAACTGTGATCTGTTCTATTTTACCTGGAGTCTCTTATAGAGAAGAGTATTAGATACTAAAGTAAATGCTGTCTTTTGTATATGTAGCATTAGCTGCTACAGCTACTAGAGTCTTAACTGAAAGAACTTTAGTTGCTAGAGCAACTCGAGTATCTTCTATAGAAGAGCTTTAATTTCATGAACAACTGGAAAATCTTATTTACACAGAAAAAATTATCAGTAGTTTATTTTCAATTTACATGTTTTTCTCTTTCTTTAGTTTTAATTTAAGCAATTTTTTATTTGTCTTAATTATCTCGTTGTTTAAAACCTAAGTTTACAAATTTGATTAAATTTTTAATTGATTCAATTAGTTTTTTAATTGATTGAAAAAAATTTTCTGGCCAACTTTTCTATTTTAGTTTTTTTTTTAAATATTTTATTTTGATTTCTTATGCTAACAATGTTTATAATTCTTAAATAGTCAACACGATTTTAGGCATATAATATTCAAGTTTCCTGACAATTTATAAAACACTTTATATTTTCAAATTTGATAAAAAAGTGATATTTTTTGTAAATGCTCAACGCATTGTTAAAGGTCAAGCATTCCTTTAACATTGTGAGTAATCAGTTAATAATTTGATTGCTTTAATCATTAACTTAATTGGTTTTTAATACATTTTCTACCAAACAAACTAATTCATTTGATTAATAAATTAATAAAAATTAGATTTTATTTTTATTAAATATTTAATTTATACAATTAATGAATTAATCAATTTTAAATTTTGTCTCAATTATTGATATTAATTGTTCTGATTAATTCGTTATTTGGAAAAAAAAGTATTTTTTTAATTTTTTTACAAATTTGATAATTGATATCATCATTTTGGTGATAGGTGCAAAACTTGCTTGATACAATTATTTTGATAATTGAAACATATTTTTAGTTTTTTCTGTGTAGGAAAGCTTCCTTTGCTAATGGCTAAATTTTCTTCTATAGATAAGCTTAAGATACTAGAATAACTAAAGTTTCTTCACTAGTTGATCTTAAGATACTTGAGTAACTTGAGTCTCGCTGCAAAAATTATTTGGGTTATCCCCAAAACTACTCACCTATAAACATTATTGGTAGTCCTGTAATGCAGGATTTAGCAGTCCTATATAATGCAGGCATAGATCATGTTTATTTTCTGATAACAACATGGTCCATAGCCTGCATTACATTGAATCATATTCCGGATCATGTACTACCATAATTTAAGCAAGAGAGTAGTTTTGGGATTACTCTGATGTAATGCATGGATGGATTACGAGGTCCTCATCTAGAACATCACAATATTAAATAGAGTATGTTCTTTCCATATATTTGAATTAGTTTTGAACCACTTCTTGTCCTTTGATGCTTACTCTTTACACGCATATAAGGAGTAGTCGCAATTTTTGTAGGGCTCTTCCCCAGAGGAGATTTAATTGCTAGAGCTCTCTAGTATATGAGACTCTTCTGTAGAAGAGCTTTAGGAACTAGAATAAACGGAGTCTCTTCTCTTTAGTAGCTTTATTTGAAATTAGAGTATCTTCTATAGAAAGCTTTCATGAGCGACTGGAATATCTTATTTAGAAGAGCTTCAAGTTGCTCAACAAAAATATTGTTTCTTCTTTAGAGAAACTTAGAATTTCTTTAATATCGGCTACATTATCTTCTCTAGAAGAGCTTCATTGTTATATCAACTGAAAGCTCTCCCAAAGCTTTATACTTTATACATATGTATGTGCACTTGCTACTTTAGCACTGCACCAATATACATAAATTCAAGATTGTTTCTTTTCCCTATACCCTGACAAGTACAAACCGATACCAACTGTTATCTAATACTTATGGTTGGCCACAGAAAATCATGCGTGTGTGAATACCGAATACCAAGAAACCAACGAAAATGAAAAAGAGACCTTAAAAAAAACAAACTACCCTACATATGTATGTATACCAGACAATACCAAAGACATCTAAATACATATACAGACAGCAAAGCATATAGTTACAAACATGTGTAGACATGTTATGCGAATAGCTAGGCAGACATACGGACTGGCAGTTAGACAAACAAATATAGGATATCTTTGGAATTCATTAAAATGCTTACCTTGTGATTCCGGTGCGTGTTGAGAAAATTTCCAAAACAAATATTTGTGGAAGACCACCATCGTAGCCGGGTATGCATTGGATGTCAACACTTAACTCGGTGCGATTGAAAATTGTACAATTACTAACAGTGTTAGGTAGAGCTGGATGATATCGTTGGAAATGAGCGATAGAATGAAAGAAAGAATTATGTTTTATTTGCCAAGTTGTATGTGTGTGTGTGAGTGGTAAATAGACGTCGTAGTTGTCAGAGATGTAGTTGTAGTTGAAATAAAGTTAGTTGTAGTTTTTTCGTTGTTTATTATCATATCCCAAGTTGAAATTGTAACAGCCAACGAACAGTTGAAAGTCAGTAACAGTGTTTACATAAATTGTATTAAGCATGACAGGATTTTGCGTTGTTGGAAACAATGTTGTATCCATAACACAAGTACAATTTGTGTTAAGCAAACAGCAAAATTTGAAGAATGAAATCCACAGCATCAGTAGGGAAAGAAAATAAAGTCCATGTATTTTCAATCATCATCATCATCATCATTGTTATCAATTTGGAAAACATCATTACGATTTTGATTTTTTAGGAAAAAAATAAAGAAAAAAAGACAAATATTTAGTTGATTTTATAAATAAACTGTCGATGACACATGTCATCGATGTGTTGACTTTTGTCATACAGACAGACATACACAACACGCTTACAAATACATAGACTCACTTATACTTTTCAAAATATTTAAAACATATTTCTTGATTTAAGTATTTGGTTAGTAGTTGTAAAACACACGTGTATGTTGAGATATTCGTGGGTGTAAGACCCATGTAGGTTGCTAGATTAACCCATTAAAAGAGGATATAATCAGCTGAGACATTAATTGACTATTGCTCATTCTTTAGCATTATTTTTATTAGATATAAAATTTTTCGAAATGAAAAAAGAAAATTTCGTCTCTTAATGGGTTAATTTTAAATAAATAATTCAATATTAATGGTCTGACAAATTCACTTTTCTTTGAACCAAATTTTTTTTTAAATTTTTTTCATGTACATTCATACCCATTTCACATTTCCAATACTTACCGGCTAAAACAACTTGAAATAGACAAGGTTGATTTTGAGTGCCCACTTCATTCGAAGCCCAGCATGATAGAGTACCATAGTCCTATTTATGTAATAAAAAGTAAAATAATAATAGTATCATTCTTTGTTATAGAAAATACTTAACAATAATATTTTCCACTTACTTGATCTGTTACGGGTGTATACTTCAGAATGCTACGACTACCATTTACACTGAAACGTTCACTGCCCACATCAAGGGTTTCACCAGAATTATTGAATTTCCAGCGAAAAGTTCTAAAAAAAAAGTTGCGAAATAAACAAACAAAATGTTAAAATAAATTATGGCCAAAGAATTGAAAAGTGAAATTTTATTTTGTTATATAAAATTCAGTTTTTGTGTATGTATAGGTGATGGTGGTTATGTTTTTAATTGTCAGTTTCAGAATACAGTGAGTACTAAAAAGGGGAAATTTTCTTGAAGTTTTTTGGAAAGTTTATAGAAAGATTATATTTTTTTATTGCTTATATACACTTAATTTACTCTGACTAACACCACAGTCTCCCTTTCCCTCGTGACATTCTTTGTTGGTGAAACTCTTTCAACTTGGTGTTATTGCAAACCGGTTTCATACAGATTATAACAATACCTTGTCTGGACTATAAGCTGAGGGACCTATTACACTCATCGGAGTCATTCCTTGGAGTTGAACAGATAACCTCATAATCTGTAACTTTTTGAGTCGGTAGCCCAACTGATTCGTCCTGTACCAACTTTCTGAGGTCCTTTGAGAGGTTCACGTAGAACCTTTGGTTTAAAGAGAATGTTGGTTAAAAGGTTAGTACTTCGGTATAAGTCTTTCGGAGCTGCATGCGCCTGAACAGATATTTATGGGTGATTTAAATGCACCGCAACATGAGGGTTTTCCACCAAAGACTCTATATTAGATGAATACCTACTAAATTGGAACGTTATTGCCTCCAGAGTTATATGGAGTTTTTACCAATACATCTAGACTTGTCTGGACTATTCCTTGCGGTCTGAACATATCACCTCATAATTTGTAACTCGTCTGAGGTCTTTTGGAGGTTCACGAAGAAGCTTTGGTTTAAAGAGGATAATGATTAATAAAGTGCTATGTACATCAAGATAAATTTTTCGGAGTTGTTGCCGCCACAACAGATGTCAATGGGTAATTTTCATTGGATTTAAATAGGAAACTCTGAAGTAGGAGCTTGCTTTCTCCAACGTCTAAGAATTGTCAGATTAACTCTTAGTAATAGCCTCTCATTTTGTGGATGATCTTTATACAAGATCCTGTAGTAAGTGATTGCTTTTTCGAAATCGAAGAATTGTCAGGTTAACACTTAGTAGCTGTCTGTCATTGTCAAGAAGCTGAAAGTTTGGAAAATTCTACATAGTGTTCTCCCAGTCGAGGATTATTAACACAGATTGCCTTAATATTCCGGAGAATTATTCGGAGATATGTTACCCAATTTGGTTTAGGTTTTCGTTTATACTTCGGGGCAATTATTAGATTCAATTATTGTATTATAATTTCTATTCCATGTTGATTTTTTGTAGCTACTGTTGCCGATACAAGAGTGCCATCTCGGTAGTGTGGTTGAACGAATTTAAGAGGTTGAGGAATACATAAATGTGCGTCCTTTGTGGATTGTAATGCATCTTTTTGTGGCATAATGCTGAGCCGCTTCTGACGTAAGATCATAAGTTGGGTCTGATCGGATGTTGGGCTACCCCTTCTCTCTCTGCAATGGTATTACTGTGGTAACATATTAAATAGCTCTAGTACCTTAGCGAAGTCCTTGTACATGGACAGGCAATAAACGTGTACTACAATGCATTACATTTGAAAAGTTACAAAAGAGCTTTGTTCAGTCAATCCTAGCTCTCTCTATGATTGAAAAAGTACCACCTTGGGATAGCGCTATATGCCACGAAGAAGTCATTCTCATGTCTGAGATTTAACTCTCTTCATGAAAATGTGCAAGAGGAACTTCAACGAACAACGCCCAAGGATTGCTAACTAAGCAACGCCGACTTTACACATGTCGCTGCTATAACAATAACAACTCTACCCAGTTAAGGTCCAACTATTTAATGATAATATTTTGCTGAATACACTTCAGAGAACTTTTAGACTTCTTTATTTAATTCCTGTACTTTGAAACACTTATTCTTCCCATTTCCAAGAACCAAGAATTTAACAGATTTAAACTTGGCTGGTTTTACGTTTCAGAAGAGTATTCCAATTTTGGTCTGAACTTTTTCAAAAATGATATTACTACAGATTAATATGCAGTTGTCTTGAAACAATACGTCTTGAACTGAATAGTGCGACATAATTGAGTGCGATTAGTGAGTTCTTGAAGTTGCTGATATATTCTCATACTCAGAATTTGGAGCATGAGAATATATCCGTTTACAAAGTTCGAACATTTATTTCTCAAATTACTCCTAATAAAGTTAATCATTAACACTTAACTCCCGCAACAACTTTTCCCAATAACATTAAAACCACATGCCAATTAATAGCTCAATATGAAATTTTAAATTTTCTTTAACAATTATCGTTTAATGATCCATAAACATGTTAAAGGAAAAATGTAAATCTTTAAATTTTCACTCACTGTTAACATTTCAGTGTTGTTATATCTACACCAAAAGGTTTGTTTGTGAATAAGAGTCTTTGTATGTATTGCTCCTTTTGTTGGTTTATTGTTTAAGATGTTAAGAGCATAAGAAAGGAGAAAAAAAAAACTAGTATTGAGAAAAATAGGAAGTGGAAGTGTTGTCTTAACATTCAATTTCAAAAAGTTCAATTAAAAGCATTTTCTTGCTGCCTGAATTAGTTCTTTGTGCTGCTGTTGTGGCTCGTCTTCATCTTCTTATACAGCATTTCCGTTTAAATTGTGTTTGTGTTGTATTCCGTCTTGTTTATTTTAAAAGGGTTTGAGTGAATGTGTTATGTGTGTGTGTATGTACGTAGCTTGATTTTGTAGTTTTAAATTAAATTTATTTTTTCTCTTCAAGTCTTAAAGTTGTGCTGCAAGCAAAACTTTAAATGAATACTAACAAAAAACCGGGAAGAAAAAGAATTTAATAATCAAAATCAGAAAAGTTCAAAGTAAAAATTTAAGACTACGCTGTGTTGGTAATGAAATAAGCTATACCCTGCAGTTCGGAAAGGGCTAAGTTGGCGTTTTAAATTTCACTTAAATAACTAATGTTAAATTGATTTTATAATAGATTACTTCTGGTGAGTAGTAAGGTACAGTATAGTAGAAATGTTTTAAATTAACTTCTCCCTAGATTAGTGGGAACTACAAAATAGTCTATTGACTATTCCTTTAGAACTGCTGGTTTGTATTTGGGGTTATGTATTTGTATATGTGTTTATGTATGAATTTTTCTGAAGTTTATTGTGAAAAACTGGAAGTATATTAGTGTATACGTAAATAACTGTTATAGTAGTTGGTTTATTTCTTACAAATATGTTAAGAATTTGTACAAAAATGTTTAAGTGAATTCAGTTTCAAAAGTTTAAGGGATTTTAAATTTAATTTGTAGATTTAACTCAAGATTGAATGTAGTAAATTTATCTTTTAATTGAAGTTTTTTGTAGTACAAATTTTCCATGAAACTTTTATTAAAGTAAACTAGGGAAAATCAATTTTTGAAATCAAATCATTTCTTAATTGAGGTTTAAAAATCAAAATAAAGTGATTAAGAAAATAATGGATATATATAGATTGTTGATAAAATTTTCTGTTTAACTAAAATATTAAATTCTTATTGAGATACTCTTTAAAAAAATATTTTTATTAACTTTTCAGCGTATGTAAAAGAAATCTTAAACTTAATGTACAACATTATGCATGTACGTACTTGACTAGCAAATACTCATGAAAATGACACAAGCTATAAACTCAAACAGACAAACATGTCTGACACAATCAAAAACGTTACCTATTATTTGATTTCTACCATCTAAAAGCAATATTTAGAGAGATGTCTCAAAATGATGCTGAAGCTAATAATGTTCGATGATGTTAATGATAATTATGTTAGTAATAATTTTCTTGAGTAAAATTGCATTTCAGACATGTGTAAAATCAACTATGATAGATTGATTTGCATGCTAAATTAAACAGTTTAAATTACTTTGAATTTGTATGACTATAACGGTAACAAAAGTAAATATCGTACAAAATTTGGAACAAACATATGTGTATTCAGTTGCACACATAGAGACACAAAGACGAGGATTTATCGAAGCACACATAATAAGGAGTAACAATAAAGATAACGCAAGCAGAATAGGTTCAAAAGCAGATGGCAGTAGGGATGTTTAATGATTGCAATACAATGTACCAAACAAAAGAAATAAAAAAGTACTTTAATCCATTTTGATTTAAAGCTAATTTTAAAAACCTTAAAGAAAAATATCACTATTAAATAACATTTTCCAAATCTAAGTATAATATTTCAGTTATTTTCGTAAAATATAACAGAACTGAACTAGAACTGAACTAGAAATGAACTAGAACTGAACTAGGACCAAACTAGAACTGAACTAGAACTGAACTAGAACTGAACTAGAACTGAACTAGAACTGAACTAGAACTGAACTAGAACTGAACTAGAACTGAACTAGAACTGAACTAGAACTGAACTAGAACTGAACTAGAACTGAACTGGAACTGAACTAGAACTGAACTAGAACTGAACTAGAACTGAACTAGAACTGAACTAGAACTGAACTGGAACTGAACTAGAACTGAACTAGAACTGAACTAGAACTGAACTAGAATTGAATTAGAACTAAACTAGAACTGAAACTAGAACTGAACTAGAACTGAACTAGAACTGATCTAGAACTGAACTAGAACTGAACTAGAACTGAACTAGAACTGAACTAGAACTGAACTAGAACTGAACTAGAATTGAATTAGAACTAAACTAGAACTGAACTAGACTGAACTAGAACTGAACTAGAACTGAACTACTGAACTAGAACTGAACTAGAACTGAACTAGAAACTGAACTAGAACTGAACTAGAACTGAACTAGAACTGAACTAGAACTGAACTAGAACTGAACGAGAACTGGAACTAGAACTGAACTAGAACTGACTAGAACTGAACTAGAACTGAATAGAACTGAACTAGAACTGAACTAGAACTGACTAGAACTGAGACTAGAACGAACTAGAAACTGAACTAGAACTGAACTAGAACTGAACTAGAACTGAACTAGAACTGAACTAGAACTG